TAACTATGTATTCAGCCATAGTATGGCTGAACAGCCAAGTTATGCTCAATCCTCAAGCAACGAGGGTGCGACCTTTTGTTCCGACCTTTGAGACTGAGGGCAAGCAAGGTCTTCTCCCGAGTAGGCCCGTTTGACTGAAGCGATGCTCGAAAGCAGCTATGTGATGTTGTGCATAGCAAATACGAATATACCCGAATAAGCCTATGCAATCGTTGCAGCGCAGTAGAGCAGAAATATAATTTTGGCGCTGCTAAAAGAGATGAAAATGAAGAGACGCTTACTAGACATAGAACAAGCACCGAAAACCACCCATAAACAGGTCTTTCCCTATTCTAGCAAACTATGGTAATCCTGGCACGTGAGCGTTTGCGAACAATATGAGCCCAGAGAGAAGGCAGAGGCTCAAGTCTGGCAACAACGTAGTTTACTTCAATGAAGACTGACCCAAGTACATATGCCATAAGCAAACATTGTCACTTGGTTCACAACAAGCAATACGACGATGACAGAAAACTTAGCAATCTGAACTTCAATCGAGCAAATCTAAGCTGGCAGATGAGGGAAAACGTTCCGGTGCCAAATCAAAACCTCGAGTATTTGCTGCATCTGTGAGGAAATTGACTAGAGTTCAAGACGTAAACAGGACTGGTATACTGTGCCGAAATCATATCGAAAACTTACTGCGTTCCATTGCTACTGGCCAATTCCATTCAATAAGCAGATCTGCTTCTATCTAGATTATGACACATTCTTTTACATTTTGACAGGAGAGAGCAATAACAGACTCCTCCTAAGCTGACGAAAGACCGGAATGGTCAAAACAGTGCCAAGCACGCGCCTCAGCCAAACTCCGCCCCGCGTGCTTGGCACAACAACCCGTTGCGAAATTGCAAAACTCCATATTTGTGCAGGAGAGAACGACGCTTGGCTGTTGGTTTATTCGTTTCGGAAAACCATTTTCAAAGTTTTCGTCGCGCGAAGACACAGTCTGGCCTCGCGAAGAAATTTTTATAGAAACAGTTGCAACGAGCGCGTTTTCAAATATCATAGCTGTGTCATATCGTATGATTGGATGCTTGAGATATCTCGTTCTATATTGCTCATTCATCTGGTTCTCTCTTAGCACTGCGAGCTTCAAAATTTCGATCAGAATTGAAGGTAACTTTTTTTTGCTAAAAAATCGTATTTCACTTGAATTATCTCGATTTGGAGCGATCGCATTTTCCTTAAGAGTGACCGCGAACAAATCAGATAGGTTTTTTTCACCAGTTGGAGTATAGTTAGAGCATTTTCTGCGAATTATCGATTGGCATTGTGTGAGAAATTTGTCCTAGATAAGCTCTCCATCTGTTTGAAATTCTTTTCCTCAGTGTGCACTCATCGCTACCTCATTTATTCTTCGCATTTTTCTCCATATGGGATGTCTAATGACGCCTTCTCGATGCGTAGGCCGTCCATCCTCTGCACTCCTAGTCAGTACAATCGATAATTTTATTTGTCTTGAAATTTTTTGAGCTGGCGTCAGTTTGTCGTTTTCCATAGTATCCACAGTCCATACTCTAATTTTCTTTTGGGTTGCTGTTCTCGTTTGTTTATTGCAATTTGCAACCGTTTACTAGTAATTTCTGGGGGGGGGGGGGGGAGGGAGGGGGGAAGTGAAGTTTCTGTGCGCAGTAAGGTGATTTGCTCTGCTTTTAGCGCAATTAATGTTCTACGATACTCATTGCTCCAGTGCTAGCGGTCCTATCATAAATCGCCCTTAGTTATTTCTAATGCTGTTTTTTATCTAACGGCTCCAAACTGCCTCAATTTACTTCTCGAGTCTTCTAGAAGCTCAATCTGGTGGCCAGATCTGAGTACATAACCAGTTTTTTTCTAGTAAAAACCACTTCTTTCTTTTAATCTAAGTTATTATGGGTACGCTTAAAGACTCTTAGCATCTTGATTCATTGTAAGATAAACTTCTTAGAAAATTTCAGAACTATATTTTTTGTCTGAGGATTTCTAGAGATTCCGACTATTGATACGAGTTTTTCTTGGTATTGTAAAAAAGTTGTAATGATATGAAAATAATTTTCAGCAAATCACTTAATCGCTACGCTTTCTACGAGCATGCTGTGTGGCAGCGTTTCTGATAATTTCTAAGTTTTTTTTTTTGACTTTCAGCTTTCTAAGCTAGAAAGAATCTTTTTGCAATGACCAAGTCTGTTTCAAATTTTCTGGTAACGATTAGAATAGTAAAAATGGTTGCCTCTGTGCTATCAATGGAAGTTGTTACATGGCACCAGGAGGTTAGAGAGTTAGCAAATGTCAACCGATCGGCTTTTACATTTTCTTTGACATTTTTTACATCCTACAAGTGCACAATAAAATTGAAGTAGCGCAAATTATTTAGTGAATCCCTCGTCGTAATCCGGTATAGCACTGTATTGGGTGTGTTCTTTTCCCAGCGAACTGAGAAGATAGGCGTTCTTCTGATGCGAAATCAATGTTACAATCATATATAATTATCCCAACCATGTAAAAACTATGAATACATGAATACAATACATTTTTTCTTAGCTGACGGTCATATGCAAATCTAGTTCTGTTGTATCTATTAAGACATGTAGTGTACGGGCGAATGGACGAGCCGAACTATGCAAAGGCGAGAAAGAGAACTGCGAGCGGATATGAGACTTTTTAGATACTTTCATCTAATCGGATGCAGTGAGGCTGCATTCGGTGCAGGCGACACTAAGCATCTTTGCTTTTTTTCATTGATGCTTTGATGTTCTCCTTTGGAAGGGTAATATCAAATGTAGGACTGGTTATTGCTTGCTCTTCGACAATTCCGTCTGCTGCAGATTTTTCTGCATATGTATTGTCATGTGATGTGAAGTCTCTCAATTTCCGTCAAAATCGTCTTCTTGGTCTTTGCACTATTTTTATTGGCATTGAATGCAATTCGTCTTAATCCTACCTCCACGTCTTTCGAGCCGCCTTTTCTTGCTTCTATTTCTCTAAAATCTGGCAGCTAGGCTCTTGCAAACATCGCCCAGAATTTTGCGAACTCCAAGATCGTAATTACTTTTTTGCGCTTTACGGATCCTGCTTCCTATACTTCTTTCATTAGGTACGGCTTATTCGCTGATTTCCCACCTCTTATGCTCTTTCTTGTTTTCCTTTTGCTTATTAAAACCAGCATTCCCTTCACATAATCTTCATGTATACCGCATTTCACATAAAGGCTGCTGCATGAAGGCGCAATACCTTTGGGCGCGATCGCGGGTTTTTATTAGCCGCAGAGCGCCTGAGACGTAGGATTTACAACGGTGAGGATCCGCGCGCCGCGGTCGCGCCCGCTCAACTAATACTACTTCTGCGCCTTCGTCATGCAGCAGCCTTTAGCTGCACTGGCGCGAATATGTGGCAAAATGTCATGAACTTATAACAATCGCCCATAGTGACAACTACGTGTAGCACAATTGTTATCTATCAGATGCCATCAAGTTGTACCCTTAGCTCAATTTACGTCAAGACATTTTTCTTCTAGAGAAGAGCATATTGAGTCTGTGACGAATTGAAGGAATACGTCTTTTGCTGGTGGCGTATTTTAAGCTAATCTTCTGTTTATGAGCTATTCATAAAGCGTTTCCTGGCGAAAATGGAGATCTCCTTTTTTACAGCCACGGCTTACTTGAATGGGTATTCGATACATACTGCCCAATTAGAATAAGAAACTTGGGCAGGACGGTTTGTATCTTCTAGCATATGGGTCTGCATATACTTCCTCTCAATCTTATTTTACGCTAAAAAAACTTGCTAACTTTCTTCCCGTGACTTCTCTTCATCAGAATATAGAGGCTTCGCAATCTCCTCTGTTCTTTCAAAGGTCAAGCTAAGCTGTCTGTTGCATGGGATTGGGGAGGGGGGGGGGGGAGATTTAAGGGATTCTACGTTCATCAAGTGGCTTCTTTAAGAAGAGACCAGCTCTATGGCATGCGCCATACTCGGTCCACTCAATCCACTTCGCTATTGGTCAGCAGTGGGCCAATAGCGAAGCGAAAGAAGTGGATCAAGCGGATCAAGTATTACGTGCACCTATGATGCATATCTGAAATCCCAAAGATCTGCATGAAGGATTAAACTAACACTACATGGTCTCAATATCTCATATCTCATATTAATCACATTCAAGACACCATGCTCTTCTGGCTTTCTCAGAATGACTCATTTTTTTGCAGATTTGCTTTTTTGCCTTTGCTTGTCACCAAAGTGCTTTGTAACACCTCAAATTTTCCAGATATACATTCAGGTTTTGCCACTAAATAGACCTTCGTTTTCGCTAATTTTGCGTCTATCTCAAAGTCTGTTTAAATCGAAAATCATAAATTCGTATAGCGAGTATCACTATGAAGACTATCGAATTGTGCGTTACTAACGGCCAGTTTCTCATAACAAAATCAAGTGCAGCTGAGAAGGAACATGCTGGAAAGAAGTTGCCGCGAATGGGGCGGAGCGCGCTGAACTGCTTCGCGGGATTTGCTTTTCTGTCTCGCTCATTGACACCGTTCCCTCGTTTTCCAATTCTCTGCATGAAAATTCTTATCTGATGAGGATGCTGTCTGTAGGAAATACCATGGAAATGACGCCATCGAAAAGTCGCTCAGAGGACAATTTATGGGAGCTGGCAGAGACTCCTCCGGTTTGTTTTGGTCGATTTTTGCGCGATTTTTGGTCATTTCTAACTTGCATATGGGTTATCACGCAGTCTCCTGATCAGGAATTCTGAAAATGTTTTAGGCAAGTGAGTAAATACAAAATAAGTGAACATGATATTTAAATAGCTTTTCACCCTATGTATCCAAGTCTAAAACTACGCAATAAAAAGTAGTCCATAATTATCATTCTCAGCCAATCGTAAGTGAGAAAAGCTTCCACATAATCGGGCAAGTTTTGCAGGCAACAAAAGAGCTGCACTTCTCTTGCCCTTTCAAATAAATTGATTGCCTATTTAGACAATGTTCAAAGCCTTGCGACGGTTGCACGGGCAAAATCTTGAAAGCAAGGGACTTAACGACATGTCAGAGGCTTTCCAGTCTTTTGTGACCAGAGCGCGCTTTTTCAGTGTTGGTAAATTGAGGTGAGTGCAAGCAACTTAGCAATTTTAAGCAGTAATTTGATTCTTATAAGAATAGAAAACATTCAGGCGGACATGGTCACATTCAGCGGCTGAGTTCGTAAAATATCGTCGCTTATTGCCGATGCTTATGGATGATGGGCAAGATTTTGAAGGAGGAGAAACGGATGGTCAGTCCTTACGCTCTCTGCCTTTTTTATTTACTGGAACGATAATATTGCGGCTCACAAAGTTCTTGTTTTTGCCTACAAGATACTATAAGTCTCAATGAGCGAAAACTTTCTTGACTTTAAAGGTCACCCACTAAGACCAACCCGGTGAAACCGGTCGCATTAGCTGGAGACAATCTGTTAACTGGCTTCTGAGTGAAAGGAAAGACAGCCAAAAAGGTGCTCACCCTCAAATTCTCGATTTTCTGAACTTGGCAAAATTTTCGCATTTATTACTGTGGCCCAGAAAAAACTCGTATATATGGTTTCAGTTCAAAAGGACCACTAACTTTGCTTGATTATCAGTTTTATGGTCTTTTTTTTACATTTTTCGTTTCTACAGTCTCTTTATTGTCAATCTACCATTTATTTAATATCAGATTTCGATGCTGCGCTGGCATTTCATGCAAGATCGAAAGAAGACAGAAAAATCATAGTGACAAATATCTCATCGAGAGTTACATCTCCGCAACTACACTCGTTCTTTTCGAAATTTGGAAAAGTAGGTAGACTTCTCTCTTGTTTAGCTTATTGAACACTTCTTTCTCTAGGTTTCACATTGTTCGCTACCGCGTGAGGATCGACGTCAGACTATGTTTGGCACTATGCCGAGGCATTTCAAGAATTGTGGGACGGCTGTGGTGACGTTCAAGTATGTGAAGTATAGATTGTTTTAGATATTTGTGAGGATTATCGTTTAGGAAAGCAGAAGATGCAGAAAAAGCGAAAAATGCTACACCTGAACAACTTCGATTTTACGACCATGATATGATAGTGTCTGCGGTAAGTGCCTAAAATCAGTAATTTTTCATTGACCGTTAAACATCTTAACTTCATTTTGAAAAATTACTTCCTTTTTCACATCGATTAAGTATTAGGCTGGAAACTAAGTTTTGCAACTGGTTTCATAACTTCACTCTCTTTGGATATGGCGCACTCAAACTTTGGCATTATGTAGAAGGCAATGTGAGCTACAAGTGGGCACAAATTGTCTAAAATTTGATCACGAAATAGAAAAGTCTTAGGCATTTTTCGAAAACTAGTGAAATTTGAGAATTTTTGGGGTTTCAAGCTAAAATGAAGCCTTTGGCAGCCTAGACCATGCGCAGTAATCCGGATTCGTTTACAAATTATTGCTGGAGGTTGACTCCTTTGGCCTAGTAAGAAAGAAGTAAAATTGGGCATGTCGAGATTTGGCGTCCTCATAAAGTCAAACGAGTCGATGTACGCAAGAGCTGCTGAGGACGACCGTCAACGACTAAGGAGTCCGAAGCTTAAATTCCGCCGAGACTTTACATAGTAAGGTTATTTGACCTGCCAAACGCGAATATCACATTCATTTGTTGATTCAACGCCTTTTTCCTTGTTTAGGGTGAGACCCCACATCGTACACCTACAGTATTCCTACAAAAAAGCCCTTATCACGCAATTTCACTGTCGTTTTCGTGATCAGCATGTCAGATAACACCCCTATGCCAAGTTTCAGCCAAATCCGTCAAACTTCAAATTTTTCCCCTTCATACCATGCACATACCGTAACCCTCACTGCGACGTCAGAATTTGGTGGGACAGCAGCTGCGCTTGTAGCTTACATAATAGCCAACGCAGTGGCAAGATTTGAGTGCGCCATGTTGAGTGAGAGGGAAGTTATGAGACTAGTTGCAAAACTTAGTTTCCAACCTAATAATTATGTCGCTTTTCATAAGAAATTTTCCATGCGACATTACCATGGAAACGAGAAAACTTATTGACTTGTAATTTTGAATTTTTGGTTCATGTCAAAGTTGATCTCAGCTCTCATGTCGTATAATTTCTTCTTTCAGTATGTGTCACGCCGGAAAGGAGGAAAAGGTGTCATACTGTCGGACGACAGCAGAGGTAAGCTACTTGTTTGGGTTACTGGTCCAAGCATGAGAGAAGAAAACTATGGAATCAGGAGATAGTGTAAAAACGTTTCAGTAACCTCGGCAACGCTTTCAGAGTATAATTTCGGAATAGCAACTCGAGTCAGGAATCTCTGTTATGTTGTTTTCGCGAAGGTCAACGAACCTTGCTCTGAACCCTGCGTTTTCTTTTGAAAATACCGCTTTTTTTGAACTTCCACTACCTCTTTGATCCATCTGTTACTCTTCTATACAAACTAATTTTTATTTTTTTAGATGATGTATACAGCCTCTGCCGTGCACCATCTGATGCGTCGCTGGCATCTACGACAATGTCCTTGAGCGGCTATGAGGTGAGTACACTTTACTGGAGGAATTATGCTGTCCTCAGTGAGACTGCAGTAATTTTCTGTTCCTCGGGGGAAACCAGTAGCCTTTAAACCCATAATATTCCAAGCGGATCGGATTGTGCAGGTACGGTGGGGCACGGTAATTACAAATCTCTTAATATAGGGCACTTCACTGGATGATCTGCCTCCAGCTGCTTTGGAAAGAATTGCCGCCTATCTCCCTGTGAACGATGCAATTCGTATGGAACGTGTGAGTAAGCGATGTATGGAAGCGTCAATGAAGGTTGGTTACCAGTCGTACGCTTGGGTTATCTTAAAGCGAAATCTGTTTCTTTGCAGTCTTGGTCATTGGTGCCTCGACTAATCATCGGCAGGGATTGCGAAGGATTTGGGAAAAACAACTCGTTTCGGAACTACCATCTGAAGGTGGGTTTTGAACTCTTCAAAAAACTATAGGTGCATCAAAAATCAGGCTTACAGAAACTAGGAAAAATTGTTTGTATCATAGCATGGGGCAAGAATTTTTTCGGGCTCAACTCATTGATACTGGATTGCACGCAATCAGCAGATATCTTGGCACCTGCACATCAACTTTCTCAAAATTTTTATTACTAGGAAATCTTTGTCTCCGAAAAACCTCTATAAATAATTTGTCATTCAAATGTGATTAGCTTTATTATCCCTGGCTAATACTTGTGTCACACGGATTAATTGGTTATATCATGCCCTCTTCCGCAGTAAACAATCTTCGTTCGTGAAATGAGAGCGGGGAGCGGCAATAAATTATTCCAGGCTCAAAACCAGCTTTGTGCTTCATAGAGTGGCTTGATTCTATGTCATCATGAAAATCTCGAGATTTGTCTTGCTCCATTTATATTTCTAGTTTTTCAGGCCATCCTTAGACGATGCGGTGCCCATTTGAAATGTTTAGACCTTTCGGGCATAGTCCATTTGTTAGACGAGAAAGCTCTTGAGATGATTTCTAGTAGTTGTCCAAATTTGGAAGAGGTAAGAGCTTTGATTCAATATCCATGACTAACGCGCACAACTGCATTTAGCTTGATTTGTCTGGAGTTCGAGCCACATGGGAAGCGTTGGGTGAACTTAGCGAAAACCTGCCGAATCTTAAAAAGTTGACCTATCGAGATATGGCTAGTGCATCGGACAAGGTAGATTTAAAACTCTGTTCGCTCTTCTACGATATTCAATAAAATTTTCTAGGCGTTTTGGCATCTTATCAGAGGTTGTGCTAAGTCACTGCAATTTCTCGACTTTCGTGGAAGTCGCCGACTCCGTGGAAGGTGTCTACGATTGCTGGGAAGTGAACTGGAACAGGTACTAATCTTTTGAATCTCCAGCTTCGTAGTTCTTTTGCCACATTCCCAGTACAATTCAGCTTTATCTGGACGGTTCATCTCATGTAGATGAGATGGCATTTGAAGATCTGTGCACTAGTGCAAGTTCCTTGAAGGAGTTGCGAATCAACGACTGCTATAAAATCACCGATGAAAATTTGAGGTAGGGATGTTCGAAATGTGTGATATGAAACTTTTGCAGAATGTTTGCAGAACATTGCGCTAATACGGCGCAATTATATTTCTTCCCATAAAGCTATATTTTTTTTATAATTTGTTTTCGAAATGGTTTTTTTTTCGTTTAGCATGATTTCGCGCACTATGTCGGACTTGCGAGTTTTTACGTTGTGTGGCGATCGGTTCGAGAAACTTACGACCGCTGGTCTTTCACACATCACCCATATGACTGGACTAATGGAGCTAGCGTATGTTGCGCTCTAATCAACTTTTGACCTCAAATACAGTTGAGTTTCTTCAGATTGGACTACAACTCGCTTGTCAATGATGCTTTTCTAATAAAAATTTGCAATGAGCTGTCTAATCTCAAGACACTCAGCCTTGCTAATGCTGGATCGGATCAAACGCTCACTGCGAAGGGACTGAACGCAATTGCGAACCTAAAGGAGTTGGAGCAGGTGTGTAGGGCATCTGATGTGCTCGAAAAATTTTTTTAAGAATTTCTAAAATTTTTTTCTTTGAGATTTTTTAAGTTGTCAACTGAACTTATTTTCTATTATTGTTTTCAAAATCTTTGTGTATGTTCTCATGGTCATCTCCACCTCTCTTCATTTTTCACGCTGCGATCATCTACTTTTTCATGAAGTCGAATTGCTGCAATTTTTCCCTTGCTAGATTCAATTAAATCTCTATTTTCCAGCTCGATCTGTCCTCTCTTGCCGCACTGCGATCAGGTGTCCTGCTCGAAATTGCCTACTCCTGCAAACAATTGTCTCTCCTGCAATTGCGGAATTGCGTCTACTTGTCCGATGAAGGTGTAAAGGGCTTGGCCAGAATGAAGCATATTCGACATGTCGATCTGAGTAGTTCTATATTGGTGAGTGCGCGGTTAGAAAATTTCTGAAGTTTTTTTTCGATTTTTCGCTCTTGGATTTTTTATCGCCCTATCTATCAGTGGCAGCCGAAAGGCGGGGGAGGGGGTGAGGGTAAAAATTTGTCGCGAAATTTCTGAGAGTCACTGACATGGATTATGAAAATATTTAAGTGACTTATTTTTTGTACTTGTAAATAAACAAAATCATTTTAAATATCCACACTGTCCTTGTAAAAAATTTCTTCGGAGTCGTGGCTGGTTGTCACCACGCCCCCTTCGGGATTATGAGCCCGCAACGATCTGGAGGAACATCCCAAAAAATTTTTTGTCAATGCGTGGCTAGTGCGTCAACTGTATCTGAAAATTATTGTCCTTCTTCCCTCCTTTCTCCTTCCCACCGAACACAAATTCTGGGACCCATCTGTATCTACTACTATGCGAGAAAATCATTATCGGTTTCTTCAGACAAATTATTAGTTGTTTGTAAAATATCATTCAAGAAGCGCCTTTCCAGGTAACCAACGAAGCCATACAACATTTTATCAAAGGCTTCCCTCAAGAGGAAAAGGTGATTTGAGTTTTGCACTTTCCTTTAATTTTTATTCATCCCATTATGCCGGGACACAAAATAGCGCGTTGATTTGCGGTCATAATCATTCAACGTTTGCTTGGTTCCATCATAAACTGCTGTTTTCCTGATCTATTCCATGGTTTCAGAAAGCTCCTGTTACTATCGTTGTTGGTGGAACAGCTGCAGACTCTTCACAATTGTCAGTTCGTGGTAGCCGTGTGGTTGTAGATTTTAGCGATTATACATCAATCCTTTCAATGCCTGATAGGCAGGCGAGCTCATTCAAATTAGGTGAGCACATCCTTCAGAAATCATCTGATTTTTGAGCTCTCCATGTGTACTATTATGTCTATAAATGGGATCGTTCAGGCACACAGTCCGACGATGACGTGTCCGATGACGAATTTGAGAGTCTCACAGCACAAAGTGAGTGCTGCAGATGGCTCTTTTCGTTTCAGTTCTTGAAAACTTCCACCTTTAGGATCTTTCTATATCGACGCTGTGTGCGGCGAGGAAGATTCCCCGATAGAAGACGAACGCAGCTTACAGGAGTGGGCCGAACGAGAGGCGCGAAATCTAGGATTAATAGGAAAATGAGCAGCATTTTAGATAGTTTTGAGCCATAGAATTAGCTTCATGGCAGGAGAAAGTATCCATTAGCAGTAGGTTTATTTTTGCGCCTTGTGCTTTATGTAGTCGTTATTACATTACTTAGGGCTAGTTTAGTTCCTTACTTATCTGTTCTTGCATCTGAAGATAGGCACCAAGTACTGTAATAATAATTGTTAATATCTCCCTGTATACTGTTTTTGATTGTGCTGTTTTTTTTGCGCATAATCATTTTTTTGTTTCCCTCTGCATGTTCTTTTCATAGCTTTTTCCTTCGCTTTTGCTCTCACCCCCTCTCAATCGCATTTTTGCAATACTTTGTCACCAGCTAATGCTTGTTATGCGCAGAACCTCAAGTCAATCCAGTGTGATTTGATACTATCTAGTTGACCAGATGATCACAAACTTCGCATTGTACTGATTCTTGCTCATTTGTGATAACTCTGTTTATTTCTTATTCTGACAGGTACATTTTTTGATATTTTCAAGGTCGAAAAATTGAAAAAAATTTTTTGATGTTCCTGCAAGTATAAATCTTGGAATTTTGAGATGCATGAAGCTTTTAAAGTTACTTAAATGAGCCATAAAGATTTGGGAGTGCCTCGTTTATACTTCGAAGAAATGTTCTCGAAATTGTTTAGGAGTTCACACTAGCACTGTAGAATTTTTTTCAGAGTGTGGCTAAAGCCACGCTTTTTCTATATTTCGGGGTTGTGGACCCATAGAAAAATGAGAACAAAAAAAATGTTTGGGCTAAGTCTCCGCAGTCTTAATCGAAGAAATTCTGGGTCGACCTTTCTGCTTTCTCCCCAAGGGACAATGCGAAGTACTTATTGTCAGGTTCCATGGATTTTGATAAGATTTCAGTTTAGGAAACCTGCATTTTTAACAATGATACATACACTTCCTCTTCATGCTTCTCAGAATTTTCGTTCCTCACCTCGAATCAGAGAGCTGGGTTTGTTCTCTTCACAGAAGCTGAAGTGCAATCTTTTTTGGCTTAACGCTCGTCTACTAGCGACGTATCTGTCACTGGTTGGCCAAAACAGCTCACCGTGCGTTTATATGTAGGACGTGATCGTCCGCAAGAATTTTTGAATCTTCTGGGGAAACACTGATGCTTCTGCTTTTCGCAAAAGGTGACTCATGCGACAATGTTTTGATTTGGAGCAATAAGGAAGCTTTTTCTGGAGACTGCACCTTTGCTTAAAATGTGTGTTATTTCAATATAAATAGAAAACATTGTGAATAATCCTCAATCTAGGAATGGCAACCTATTCCAATGATATGATGAACATGCAAAATTATTATTCCTCTGAAGAAGAAATTCTTCCAAAGTAAAAGCGTTATCAAAATCGACTTTGGCAACAAACAAGGAACTAAATGTTTTTTTCACTTCTTTGAAAATCAAAAGTGCTTTTCCATCACTTCCTACGTACAATCAGATACCAGAAAAATTCATGAAAATTCCTCGTTCTGCCTAATAGCTCGATGTTAGCTCAAGTGAGGAATAATTTTTACTGAAGCGCTACGTATCTTCATAAAACCAGAATACACCATCATGACTATTGAACTAAAGTGAAATAGTAAGTGAGAAAGATTTCCGATCGTTAGATTTAAAAAACGTTACAAATGCGCCCAAAATACCTATCTTATCTTATCTATGCACCTAACACTCCAAAGCTGTAGATATACAGGATCATAACGGTATTTCTTCGAGAAATTTTTGCAGAAAACCAACTTTCCTGGATGAAACACTACGGAATTCACCCTTCTTCGACAAATATTTTTGCTGCACGACCGTGGACTACAAACTCTTGTGAAGAAATACGGTGAAGGAATCAACCACTTTTCCGTAAAGCATCATAAAAAAACTAACTTTTTACTTTTCTACTTCAGTGTTGCAGGATTGATCCTTTTTAGAAGGCTGTTCATACAAAATCATAACAATTTCAAAAACATTAATTGAAGCAAAATGCTTATTGTCCAGCAAATTTCAAAAACATCTGATAGAAGCAAAATGTTCGTTTACTTTGAATACAGCGCCAGCGTACGTTGGGTACCTAAATTCTTCAATTTTTTTGGAACTGTTACACTAAGATAACAAAAGGGATAGTTTATGTTCTTTATGATATGATGGAGATGAAATGTACATAATTATCAAAGTTCGAAACAGTGCAAGTGTGGTACAAACTGATGATAGTCGTATCAACCCTCATTTCTGACAGACATTCCTCCCAAAATCAAGCTGACAAATGAGAAGATGGTCCCAACCATGCAGAGCCAGTATGAGTAGTCGAGCTGAAATGTTGGAAAGATGAAACAAAGCGAATAAGTCACTAAAGGTAGCGTCCAGCCGGGTTTTCGTTTTCAATGTGTCCTGAATTTGAATATGAGGTCCAAATTACATGGAAACCTCAACCCCCACCCTTTTCTCAAACCTTATTTTAGAATTGCGAGTGTTTGGCACTGTTCCCATCGTAAATAACACCAAGTCTCGTCATATTTACACGGATGCAGTTACGCAGTGTGCGCCTCAACTATGCTTGCCATGTCAGAACGCGTCAGGAAGTTATCTGTGGAGCGGAGCGGATAAAAGGGGCGTGGCGGAAAAAAGAATCTTCGGAATAGAGGTCCATTTTCTCTTTTGGGAGCAACGTTAAGGGATCGAACCAACGCAGATGGTCTATTTCTAAGTACTTCTTACAAACTGTACAGTAGTCTGGATGGCAAAACTTTTGGGTGGACGCGCCTTTATAGATCAAGTTAACTAGACATAAGAATTGTGTGACTTACATAGATATCCACGCCCAACGTTTTGACGATCTCTGAAAAATGGAAAACTCGTAGCAGTTTTAGGAGGAGTGGCAAAATATAAAACATGAAAAACAATTTACCAGTATTTCTGTCATAAGTTGCGCCATAGACGATGAGCACATATAGCAATAATATGGTTACTATAAGTTGCTGGCTCGTGAATCCTCTCGAGAGATGATAACGCCAACTCTTGAGAACTCTGAACACTTGCGATGACTCAAGTCGTAAAACATTGCAGATCTTTTATAGCTCAAAATCTGTTGCGATGAGATTGCAAAAAACTCTTTCAAATGTTTGCAATAAAAATATTCAAAGCCTGAAAAATGTGGGTTTCTTACAGAGCTGCGATGACTGATATCAAAACGAAAAACTGTACTATCCAAGCGAAAAGCATTGCCAAGAAAACTGTGATTGCCCAGCCGTCAGCATTCTGTAAAAGGATTTTTAACCTTTAACCTAGCTTCGTATAACTTTAGGCAAACACTGACCTCCCAGAAAAAGTCACAAGTATTGTCGTTGACACAGCCCCAGGGAAAAATTCCTGCAGAATGTTTGACATTTGCTTGAAATGCGTTGACAGCGGCGGTTACCCAACCTGTAAAAAAATTGACGAAATGAATAAGATGTACAAGAAACTCATCACAAAAGTAATTATTTTTTTCAATCACAAAATATGCGAACCTTTTGTGAATAATGCTATACTAATAAAGACGTAGGTAATAAATGCAGAAATTCCAGCTCCCAGTAAAAACATTTCTCCTAAGAGACCAAATTCGCAACGCTTTTGGCGCTCTTCTTATGCTTTTAAGGCTGAAGGTTGACAAAACGATCACTGTTTGCCTTCGCAACGTTATGACTCAGAGAAACACCGAACGTGGCACATGTGCTTCAAACATCTTTCGTTTGTTAACATCAATTCATCAAATGAGGACGACGGAATTGAACGCTGAACTGGCTCGAATTCTGACCAAAAACTGTTTACGTCTATTTTTCCTCTCCAAAATATAGCATGGAAATGAAATTTCAATTTATAGAACCTACCCTTTGATTCAACTGGCTTGGCGGCTGAAGGTGGGGCTCCATGACCTATCAAGGCTAGGGTAATCAGAGAGCACGCACGCGGGGAAGACGCAGACTGCGTCGCGGCGCGAGCGGATTGATAGGTCACAAAGCCCGTTTAGCCGCCAAGCCACTTAAATCAAAGGTTATTCACTGAAGCGCTGTTTGTTTTATAACTGAACTCATGCTTTGCTGAATTGTAGAGGGGTGTAAAGTCACATTTCCTTCAAATTTGGCTACGTAGTTCACACCCTTAGGACTGACAAAGAGTATCATGAAATTATAAAACTGATAGAATTTATAATAAGGAGAAGAACTGCAGCATATCAAACGCCTCCTTCCCCCTTCTCGATTCTGCAATGAATGAATCATGACAATGCAAAACCGAATGCCGTAAAGAATTCGAACTCCTAAAGTTTCAAATTAATTAAGCATCAACTTTTTCTCCAAAGTTTCGGCGCCAAAAATTTGAGAGACATTTGAAAAATTTTCCGAAGAAAGTGGCCAGAATCAGGCACATCAAATTATAGGTTTTCGTCCCCCCCCCCTCCATTCTAAAGACATTTTTGCGATTAGCGTTAACACTTATCCTATATTTTCGCAATAATTTCTTCTGGTGATTTTGCATAACTATTAATTTTCGCTAAGCAGATCTAGCCATCACATAATTTCAGGAACAGCTCAGCTTAGACTAAGTGGTGGGTTTTTTTTCAGAATCTTATATATAAAGCTGAATGTCTGTTTGTCTGTCTGTCTGTATGTGTGTCTGTATGTCTGTCTGTAATTACGTATGTTCCGAATAGAAAATTCCATTTCTGAACCGATCCGGACAAAACTTGGCACACATACACTACGGGCCCCGGCGGGTGTCATAGGCTACTTTTCGTCATCGATCGATATCGACTTAATCGATTTTTTGCAAAATTTGAGCTACGGGGCTGGGAGTTGGCACAGGGGGGTAATCGAGCATGCTGATTACGAATACAACACAGGGAACGGGAAATGAAGTGCCCTCGCCCCAGCCCCTTAGGTGGGCTCAGCAAAAAAATCGATAAAAATCGATAAAATCGATATCGACCGATGACGAAAAGTAGCCTATGACTCCCGCCGGGGCCCGAAGTGTATGTGTGCCAAGTTTGGTCCGGATCGGTTAAGAAATGGAATTTTCTATTCGGAACATACGGCCAGAGGTGCGATAGGGGGAGCCAAGTCTCCCCCTACCTTCACTTTTGAGCTGGTACGGGGTGACCACCTTCACTTTTGGAATAAAAAATTTTTCGCTGGACGACAAAGAAGGAAAATAAGCAAAACAAACGCAAAAAAGATTATTGAAAGCATATATTTATGTATACGGCGGCATATATATTTAAAATAAAGGTTTTTAGTAAATGGTGTATTTGGAAGTAAAGCTTAGCAAAACTGTACGGATTTTATTAAGCAAATTATGTTATAACGTATAGCGAAGGAAGTAGGTCGATCCAGGCAGTAACGGCCGAGAACCAGAATTTTGAATATTTAAATAGTGAAAAATCATGCGAAATTTCCACTGTTATAAATCTGTTGTTTGAAGATGTCAGCACTTGCGACTTCATAGGTTTTGAAGAGTAGATGTTGCTCTATCAGCTAGTGAAGGAATCGGGTCGATTTAAGAGATAGTCGTTGAAAACCAGAATTCTAAAAATTTACGCCATTTTTGCGTGTTTTTTGACTGTTGAGAGTCAAACTCTTATAAATCTTGAATGTGGAAGTGTATGATGTTGCGACTTCATAGGTTTTATAGAGTAAGGTTTGCCTTATCAGAATATGTCTTGTCCGTTCCGATCCATTGAAACACCTCCGAGATCCAGAGTCATGAAAAAGCAGGTAAAAAAGAGCTTTTTGAACTTCAACAGCTCATAACTTCTTCAGAACTGCATGAATCATGTTGCGACTTCATAGGTTAGATTCCTCTCATCAAGGGCTTTCAGATGATATATGATATATGGGGGTTTGGGGCCTTCTTCGACGTATGACCGGGGGGGGGGAGACTTTTTAGGCCAAAATCTCCCCCTCGCCCATTTTAATGTATTGGCTGGAGGCCGCCAGGGGAGACTTTGGCCTAAAAAGTCTCCCCCCCCCCGGGCATATGCCGTAAGAGGCGCGAAACTCCCACATATTATATATCATCTGAAAGCTCTTGATAAGAAGAATTCAACCTATGAAGTCACAACATGATTCATGCAGTTCTGGAGAAGTTACGAGCTGTTGAAGTTCAAAAAGCTGTTTTTTACCTGCTTTTTCAAGAGCCTGGATCTCGGCGGTGCTTTGATGAATTGGTACGGGTAAGATATATTCTAGTAGGGCAAACCTTACCCTAGAAAACCTATGAAGTCGCAACATCACACATCTTCACAATCAAGAGTTTTAGGAGTTCAAATGTCAGCAGTCAAAAATTAGCCTAAAATCGCCTAATTTTTCAAAATTCTCGTTCTCAGCGACCACTGCTCAAATCGACCCGATTTTTTCACTATCTGTTAGAGCAACACTTACCCTTTAAAACCTATGAAGTCGCAGTTGCTGACATCTTCAACCACTTGGTTTATAACAGTGGCAATTTTGCATGATTTCTGGTTATTTTTTCATTCAAAATTCTGGTTCTCGGCAAATACTTCCTGGATCGACCTACTTTCTTCGCAGTACGACATAACTAAATTTACTTAATAAAATCTGTAGAGTGTCGTTGAGTTTCACTTCAAAATACACCATTTCATTGACACGTTTATTTCGAATATTTATGCCGCTGTGTTCATCGTATCTGTGGCCCTAAAGAGGGCCGTTGGGTCAGAGCTTCTTAAATCGAGATTTGTCACGCAGCTATCTTCTCCGATTTCTTGGGAAGTGCGGAAAAGTGGATGCGTCCATGTCGGTGATGGCCTCCAGGTGCTCGCAGTGGGCGACGGCGGCTTCCTAAAAGTAAACAACATAGAATATGCTCTCAATACCTCCTTGCGTTCGTTTTGCTTAATTTCCTTTTTTTAAGTTTCAGCAAAAAAAATCAAAACCCAAAAGTCCGAAGTAACCCAAACCAAAAAAATTAAAAACCCAAACCCAAGGTCCGTCCTATGCTACCCCCTCCCTCTCTACCCCCCCCCCCCCGGTTGATGGTTTTGGGATGTGAGTGTCCGGCACTACCACCTTCACTTTTGGCAGCCAGTGGTAGCAGGGACCACCTTCACTTTTGGGGGACCCGGCTCCCCCTATCGCACCTCTGCATACGGCGGAGCCGGGTAAGCCAGCTAGTTATGTATATTATCAGCTGTCTGAAGATTTTTCATCACTTAGGTAGGAAACACAACGAATGATCTAAACTTGCTGCGATTCACTGCTAAAAAACCTTGAAGTTATTTTAACATCCGCGATACTCTAAGACGTGACGGGAATTCTACTATCTTACATGCTTCCAGTTCACCTTCTATCTTCATAGTTCAAATTCTATGCATAAGGCATTTGAAAATTCGCGACGATGGCGCGACCGCGATTTTCGACAACCGCATTTTCTTAGTTTTCATCTCTATTCGAGGGTTTTCTGCTTACGTATGATAGTAATCACACATCTGGATGTGACTGAGCTGAGCGTTGAGGTGATCCTTTTTGTTCGAGCGTTTTATGGTCCTGTGAGCGCAACGACCGCAGTCAAATCCGTCGTCACGGTTTTATAAATAAATTATGAATGCGAGGGTGCACTGTTAGTTCTTCGAATAACACGAGAAGTACTCCTCAAATCATTTGCTTCTCTTACCCAAAAAAGTGTTACAGCAACTCGCGACAAATACAGGGTGTCCCAAAAAAAATGTTAACGCTGTTTGATCGCTAATAACTCTTTCGGCGAGCTTGAGGCACCATTCTGTAGAGCGAGGTTCAACTTAGATTTACAATATGGAGCGAATCAATGTTCGCTCTTGGTTACTGTAGGATTACGGTAAGAAATTCCAGCATGTGGAACCGTCGTGAAGTATACCCTCTGACAAAATTTTTTTCAAAAAAACTGAAAAATCGTGTACTAGGGTTTTCGCGCACGCTAATTTTACTACACAACTTTTTACGAGTGTTTTCAGCTTTTTTGACGGTGTAATCACATTTTTGACAGATGCTGTAAAGTCAGTTGTTACACTTTACCTACGATAACTTTGAAAAGAAGTAACATAATAAAATGGAAGTTTCATATTCGAAATCAGCGGCTTCCATTACCATAGTACAAGAGATTTTGGCTTGTTTGGCTCTGTCTGGAAGCAGAAAATGGCCTTCAATGGCCTACATTTCTTGTCAAATTTCCTCCCATAATTCTACAGTAACGAGGAGAGTTAGATGATTCGCTCCATACTATTAATCTAAGTTTATCCTCGCTCTACAAAAAGGTACCTAAAGCTCGGCGAAAGACATGAAGCAAGGGAGCAAGTTATTAACGATCAAACAGTGTTAACTTTTTTTGGGACACCCTGTATATGCATGGTGTAATTCTTATACGCTAATCCATTTGTCATCTACGAGCTGGAAAATCAAGTTTAATCTTGCCTAAGAGCGACCGTGATCCTGTAAAGTAGTCTCATTTTTAGGAGCGACCATGATCCTGTGAAGAAGTCTTATTTTAAAAAAACTGCTGCGAATTACTCGTAAGTCTTACACTGCAATGAGCCCAGACAGCTTTATCAAGAGTAATTATGTTGAAAACGATGAATATCTCGAGCTACGTCAACAGCAATTTATTGTGAACTTGTAGGTTATCACCTTATAAAACATTTGGCACGAATTTTTTGGCATGACGAGCTGATACATTGCCCATAAAGTTATAAAGCCTAGAGTGAGATAAATCGCTTGATGGTGAACAGTGGCCACAAAAAGTCGGTGAGGAGAAAAGAAGTAGAGTAAATATAATACTAAGTCGAAGTCGATGACCTGGGGACTACATAGACAAAGACGAAGAAATATAATCGTTGACCTATAAACAAAGAAGACAAATACTTTTAGACCTATAAATCTCTGTAACAATTATTCTTAATCAAACAAGCATATAAAGTCAATGAGTAGAAAAGACAATAGAGTATAGGTCATTCTTGAAATGGTGACACAAGTTTGACTGCGGTTTCTGCGCACAGAGGAACATGATGCAGACAGGCATCACTTCTACGCTCAGCTCAGTCACTTCCACTGTCTGAATACTATCATATGTAAGCAGGAAAACCATTTGATTAAAGTTAGAAACCAACAAAATGTGGTTGCTAGAAGCGCCTGCGCGTCGCGCGCGGTCGCCCCATCGTCACAATTTTTCGAATGCCCTATACATACAATGTAAAAAACCAAACAAAAATTTGATGATGAGAAAGAATAGTAGGCCTTTAAAGGCAGTACATCGGCAGAATGAGACCCGTGACAAAACAAGGTCACAGGGTAGGAGCCCCAAATGGAACCTATCGGCCAAAGTCCGATCTTTCTCTGCCACTTCTAACCCCCGAACTTTCAAAGCGAAAGCAGCGCTCATCTCCTGTCCTCTCCGGACCCGCCCACCCCATGGACGAGTGATTTCCGCGGTCAGAGCGCCAGCCGCAATGCTATAAGCATGAGGTCCCGAAACGACTCTGCGTCTTCGCCATGATGGGCTTGCGTTCACTCGTCCATGGGATGGGCGGGTTCGGAGAGGACAGGAGATGAGCGCTGCTTTCGCTTTGAAATTTCAGGGGTTAGAAGTGGCAGAAAAAGGTCGGACTTTGGCCCACAGGTTCCATTATGGGGGCTCCTACCCTGTGACCTTGTTTTGCCACGGGTCTCATTCTGCCGACCTACTGCCTTTAAACATAAAGACAAACTGGTACTTTTCCGTTATCCGGACCTATTTTTTCAAAAGGTTCTCATGAAATACGTTTTTTAGTCTAAGAACAATTTTTTACAGACACCATGAGGACTGCCTCCCTGCCACATCTCAGAAAAACATTGACACGTTTTGGTCCATTTTGGCATGTTTTTTCGAAATCATTTTAGGTGAAGTAAAAGAGCACTTGTGATTACCCTAAAAGCTGTTTATATGGTTTCTATAAAAGCAGAAAAATCTAGAACTTATATCAGAACATCTTGATTGTTTTAACAATGATTCAGCACTGTCTTTCTCTTCAAACTTTTCGCCTTGCGAATTCAGCCAGACTATAAATGATGGCTTAAAGTTTCTTCGCTACTGCTTGTTCTGTAATTTAGATGACGAGACCCTAGCTCATTTCTCTACTCTGGACAAGTCTAATCTGCTTATTAGTAACAAAATGACGTTATAATGATGACAATATTTATTTTTGATACTTTCCAATCGAAAATAGGGCTACTATTGCCTAAAAAACAGATTGAACTTACGTTGCTGGGTAGGGCAATTTAAACTCTTGGTTAAAGCTGTCAAACATGTAAATGACATGTCAAATTTTTTGACACGTGGCAGGGGTAGGTTGTCACTCCTTCTTGTGAAGTTGGAACCAAATATGGTACTACGGAAGAAGCAATATCCTTCTTTGAAAGAATGGGTCCGGATAACGGAAAAGTACTGACAAACTTGAAGTACTTGAACTACCTCTGTAACAATCCTTCTCAATTCATAACAGATCCTTAAATGTATGCTTTCATAGCTCTATTCGCTTAGTTTTATCTCTAATCCCGAAATAGGTAGTAGGCAACGACGGCTTTCGGCTATCTCTCTCACGCTTTACGATATGTGAGAACGTCGATACGCAGTTCCCGATGAAGTGGTCAGCTTTACCGAGAACAGCCAGCGAGACGAACGGATCATCTGGATTAAGACGATGAGCTTGGACCTGAAACACTTGCTCATCTAAGGAAGTGTTACACAACAGAGGGAGGGGGGGGGTAAGGGGTAAAAGTCGAATGTCGACTAATAAGTTGTTTGAAATGTGTTTCGTACAAATAGAGGTGCAAAATCGTTATGAGAAAATTGTGACTTATTTTTTTATCAAAAAGTTTTCAGAGATGATATTTCTGCTAACTCACATCATATGCCTGCAGAGCCTCATTTATTGCGTCAATCATGTGATCTCTATCACTAGACACGAACACTGATCGAGCACCAATTTTTCCAACCGTTTCTACCAGCTGAAAATAGTACAGTGCATCAAATCTCTAAAACAGCGAGCCTCCATGACCATCCATAAATAACCAACTTTTGAGCTGCTTCAGAAAATTTTGGAAAAAAATTCAACTCCAAGTTGCTCCAATTTTTTCCCAAGATAAATACGGAAAGAATGTTTAGCAATTATTATAACATCCTAAAGCGGGCTTTTTGACAAGAGCATCGACAATTAATCTGAAGGTAGAATTTATTGAGTAACTAGGGCTCAGCAGTTTGAAGCCTTATGTAGCGGATTCAACGTCACGATTACAGTCAGTCAAGTCCACTCTGAATGCTTTTTGAATTCGCTGTTTTTCATAAGACCCAAGTTTTCATTGTAAATAAGCGAGGAACGAGTGAAGAAAGAATAATCTGTTATTGCTAGAATTAAGAACTTGTTCGAGAGCGGCTCTATGACTGAAAAATCATCGAGAATGATGTGTACGGCTTAGACAAAAGCAGTGGCGGTCAGTGATTATACAAGGGGAAAGGGAGTTCTTCTTAAATGAAGGCACGCGGCACCAACCGCTATTATTTGGAAGCTTCCGGATTTTTCGCTGAGTGTATATTAGGTTGGCCCGGAAGTTCTTTCGCACCAAATTCAAAAATTCATAACTTCTGCTTTTTCCAACCGATTTGGCTGCTCTTATTTTTGTATGAAAGAGTAAGTCATGCTCTTTATAAAGACATCTTAGCTGCTTGCTAATGATCATCTGTTACATAGATAGGATCGATAGAGAAAAATTGGTCAAAATACAAATTTTCTGTGTAGGGTCATAAATCGGAAACTTGCAACAAAAATCGGAGCAGTCGGTACTGTAAGTTATTTCACCAGCTCTTTCTAACGGTGCAAATAGTAAATATTGATATGATGGGTTCTTTACGCCTGTTTCGCCTCTACCCCTATACAGGTTACTATAGTGTTAACCACTCCCGAGGCTCGTCAGTAGGGAAGAGTGGTGCACTGGGACAGATTGGTTTAAGGGGGGTATTTATACATGAGGGGTAGAGCAAATAGATCAAAAAAGTCAAAAAAATCAGCTGAGTTGCATTTTTGTGAGCATTTTAGTAACAAAGGTTTTAGTGGTTTTGAAGGATTGTAGTTGCAAATACTTGTATGATATGTATTTAATTTTATTCAAACATTTGATCATGGCATTAGAAATGATGTTGGGAGTGTACTGTAGTGTTAAAAGTTGATCTATAAGTAATTCTAGTCTTTCAACAAAGTTTTCAAATTTAGTACAAGTCCTATAAATTCTCAAAATCTCACTGTAAATAATTGCAATTTTGACATTCAGACTGATATGTGATCCTGAATGAGTAAATTTGTTAACTTTGAAGTTTGCGCCGATTGAGCGTCTCTATGAAAAGTTATGATTTTCGAGCAAGCAATAGAAAAGGGCGAATTTGATTTATTTTGGCATTTTTCAGGGAAATCATAAGTTTTCATAGAGATGCTCAATCGGCGCAAACTTTGCACTGTTAGAAAGAGCTGGTGAAATAACTACAGTACCGACTGCTCCGATTTTTGTTGCAAGTTTCCGATTCTTTATGACCCTACACAGAAAATTTGTATTTTGATCAATTTTTCTCTATCGCTCCTATCTATGTAACAGATGGTCATTAGCAAGCAGCTAAGGTGTCTTTATAAAGAGCATGACTTACTCTTTCATACAAAAATAAGAGCAGCCAAATCGGTTGGAAAAGTCAGAAGTTATGAATTTATGAATTTGGTGCGAAAGAACTTTCGGGCCAACCTAATATGTAAAAATATAAAACTCGCACAAAATAGGGAATAGCGGCAGCTAAATAACCGAAAATATCCTGAAAGCTAATTCGATACAAAAATATCAAAAATCATTATGAATCCCCTCAAACGCCACTGATAAAATGGCATCAACACGACCAGAAGCTTGGGAATCAAAGTTTCAAACTCTTCCATAGATTATGTGTGCATACCAGTACGAACAGCTTTAGTACTGCTGAAATACCCGACCCTATAATCAGGAAGGTTCCTAAAGTGCTAAAAAAAACCGATACAGAGGCTCACAATGATTCTTCAGATTTCGAATATGAAAGATCTAAGTCTATCCACCTGTTCAATCACCGTAGTTTCCGACGGTGCACAAATCTCCTTCGTCAAAATTCCATCATAATGCTCCTGAGTATCGCACTGCGCTGAACCAAACAGCGATCGTCCTTCTGGCGGTATATGCTCACAAACGCGCCCCTCAAAAGATTGGATGATTGAGATCAAGAAAAAGGAATTAGTCAATGATATTACCCAGTCTTTGTCGTTACGAAGATGTATGCCTATGTATGGACGAGTCAACTTTTCTTTGATAAAATGAACAGCTTTACCAATTATGCGAGAATTCCACTTGAGATATCTAAGAGGAAGAGCATGCTATGGTATCAATACATCTAGAAAGGGACTGTAATATATTTCAGCGTTGAATGTATACCTCTGCAACTCCCAGGTATTGGAGTGGGACGGGAAGGGCGCTGGCGGAGAAGGGAAAGCCAAGACAGGATACTTTTCAGCAGAAAATCTACAACAGACTATATAGAGAAAATTTGGGAACTTTTTTGAAATCGTTGCTTTATCTTCTCACCTTTTGAGCCATTCTGCTTTCGATCCGTTCACAGACAAGTCGAACCCACCCGGAATTTCTCCAAAGTACGCGTCATTCACAAATGACACACCAATTTTGTCCCAGTATGGACCAAACGGATTTCCTTCCTTAGGGTGGCAGCCCGCCGGAGCTTCGCTGTCGTAAATCGACTTGCGAGGACTCCAACAGACAGCTAGAAAGTACGATGGATAGCGGAAAGGAAGAAAGGTTGTTGATGCGGCAAAATAGCCCACCAACTCGTTTTTCCTTCGGCCATATCCTTGGCATAACATCGCGAGTAAACTCTACCATAGTAACCACTTTTTGATATTTTTTGATCTCATTTATTTGGAAGATGTTCTCGAATGGCGTCATAACCTAGGAAAGAAAATCAAATGGATCATACCTTTCCAGTGACATTAGCTGGAAATGAAAACGAGATTTACCTACAGTATTCGGGTAAGGGTATTCGATGAAATTAGGTAACACCAGGGTTCTATTCAGCAAGCGAGTGAAACGCATTACACCAAGAAGTTGGTCCACTTGATTGCCAAATCGACCTAGAAAGCTCCGTAAATATCAAAACTGGCTATTACTGAAAGAAATGAAAGCACAGCGTTGCAAAAAAACTTTCTTTTGATGTCTCAAATGCTTAAAAAACCTTTAGTCAGCAGTCGTAGGTTCTAGTTCAAAAAGTTTTAGCAAAAAAGGTACAAGAAAGTTCAACTTACCCATACATGGACAAAACACGAGATATCCTGACGGATCGATCTGTTGCGCAGATAGCACAACAAGAGCCAGTAAAACCCACAAAAGGGACCTCATTGATCCTCCAACTGACCGAAGCTGAAGAGGTCTGGAATGATAACACACTAGGCCTCGACCGATCGTAAAATAGCTGAGCGATAAGAAGTAGGCGCGGTTGCATACGAGACAAACATTCTAACGCAAAAGTGATAACTTTTTGATCCTTACTCATTGCTACAAAAAAATAAGTTTCAGTTTAAGATCAAAAACAGTGCTCCTCACTCAAACAAACCAAAATTTTCGTTACATAATTTGCTACATGAATTAGCTTTGAATAGAATATTATCTTTTTCAGAGACAAAAACCTGCCTACAAAACAGTTTGAGTTATATGTGTGAGTTCCTGCCGATATCGGTTGACGAACACTGATGCATCGCAGCCTATGACCAGAAATTTGGCAGAAAATGAGGTTTATTCGATTCAATACCCATCATAAGTACGAAAGTTCGGTATAAACACGAGAGGAGCAGTTAGTAACACAGTAGGACACACAGTGCGTTCATCATTATCAAGCTGAACATTCTTCAAATCAATATGTCACGGTGAAGTAGCAGCAAAGACAATCGTGCAAAAGGCCACTGATAATCGATGAAACTTATGACGACAAATCCGAAAACAATAAAACACTAGCTAGAAGTGGGGTGAAAAGTTAACTGCTAGTTATGAGAAAAATGCACAGGGTGGAAAGTACACTTCCGAACTCAGCTCTGCTGTTGTTGTTGCTGCGGTTGTCGCTTGCTCTCACGGCTTAGTCGCTGTCGCGCATTTGTTTGAGCCTAAATTCTCAAAAATGACTGCCACGTATATCGTCCGTTAAGCTCACTAATATGCCTAAACTATATTTAGAACATTACGAAGGGTTTGAGGTGTTTACATTATCAACAAAGAAGTGAACATATTTCTACTTACCTTTTCAACCAAAGGAACAAGCCGACCTTCCTTCGCTAATATGCGAAGCATTTCGACAATAAATGGTAGGTAATTATGACGACGTCTGGCGTTCTCTCTCCTATACCTGAAAAGGTGACCTATAGACAGCGAGAAAAAGAGAAGCCATACTGACTGCGGCGATGAGCTCAAAAAGAAAAACAATATGAATTAGATGGAATATGGAAAACCAAAAGGAAAAAAGGACGTACATGTCAAGCTTATGTCCTTCCTCATCAATTTTATTTTCAACGACAGCTAATTCGTCATACATTGCATCTGTGGATGGAAAAGTAACTTTACCCTATAAATAATGCCATGAAGAATGAGACAAGTGAAAAATCAGAATAATCAAAGTGCGTACCTCAAGAATCTCCTCTCTCCTCTTTGTGTACTTATCCATCATATTACCAACAACTGCCATCAAATTAAACATTATGTCGCCGTCATTGAAGCTTGAATGATACTGAGTTGTATGCGCAACTGCAGAATGATACTAACCGACGCATTCTTTCCGTGAGTATAGGGCTGATCACCTCCATCCATGACTTTCCTTCAGGGATAGTAGTAAGTTCAAGCGGAAATTCACGCAGGCCGTCGAGCTCATATATCTGAACTGAAAACGTGGAAAACAAGAAAAGTCGAAACAGGAAGCATAAAGAAGAAAACTGCTTTCGGTAGCTATTATGAAAGCTAGCCGAAAAAGCAAGCCGCACCGCCACCGCCCAGCAGCTCCGTACAAAAAAGAAGCCGAACTGGTTGGTAATCAAAACGTGCGATAAAAACGATTGAGAAGCTAGAAAGGGCGCCGATGATGTGAATTGTTTCAACACATAAATAAAAAGGTCACATGTTCTCTTTAAAGGCAGCGTCCAGGCAGATCTGGACCTATGGGGCTTCTACGTGGAAAGTACTTTTGGGGCCCTAACTAAGGCACTGCACAAGCGGCAGCTCAGGTAGTGCTCTAATGGCTGAGATATTCCCCTCGAAACTGGCCCCCGCGAACGTATTCGCATGGATTCATGGCAGTTTCGCGCCAGGATCCACGCTTTGCGCCATGAATCCATGCGAAACACGGTCGCGGGGTCCAGTTTCGAGGGGAATATCTCAGCCATTACAGCACTACCTGAGCTGCCGCTTGGGCAGTGCCTTAGTTAGGGCCCCAAAAGTACTTTCCACGTAAAAGCCCCATAGGTCCAGATCTGCTTGGACGCTGCCTTTAAAGATGTATATGCAAGAACGTGACTGCTCACCTTATTCCCAATTGGTACAAAGGTAATAAAATGATAGTTGTCCTCTGATGAAGGCAAATTGAGATCAAGTTCGTAAAAGGTTGGTCTCGCAAAGCTATTATGTACTTGACGAATCTTCTCACAATTTGATAACACAAGGCCACGACTCTGAAATTTCGAAACTGATAAAGGGAGCTAGATAAAAAAGCTTGGAAAAGCAAGAACTTTCTGTAGGAATCAAACAACATCGTAACAGCAGGATTTTCCAATTTGTCAACATGAGAATTTGCTTGTGAGAAACTGCATAAAAATTGAACTTACAGCCGGATCAATATGTTTCGCGAAGTCTCTATATTCTTCGAGTACAGGACCAATCTTCACTTTGGTATCATTGACATTCATAAGACAATTAATGATCGCTTGGGTGGCACATGCATTGGTGATCACCTCAAAAATTACCAGTTTGATCGGATGGAAAATAACAGAATTCAAATGTAATGGACTAACTTGCTGTGCGAAGAACACGTTACTTGTATCGGCCGGCTCACCTATAGGGTCTTCACCAGGACGCCATTTGAAAAGGAAGATCAGACCGTATATAGGACTGTAACATGCTGCTAAGGGTAATAATTACAGTATTCGGAAAATTACAGCAATAGATAACGGATGGAGTGGATAAGTTTGCTTGACGTGTGCCTTACAATAAGGCTCCGACCAAACTTCGTTCAAAAGTACCCAAAAGCGCTAAAATTTCTCTCATCTCTCCTCCCACAAAAAGTGAAGAGACTTTAGAGAGATCTGGGCGTTTTCGAGAGAAGGCTGACCGAAGCCTTAGACACAATGCAGTAAATTTTGGACACATAAATAGAACAAAAAAAAGAAAATACTGTTAGGTAATAGCGTCAAACCTCGATACGGGCATGAGTGCATCACTCACTTGTATACGGCGGTTTCCTCTTCTGAAAGGGAGTGTAATTCTTCCACCTGAACTCCCTCAACTCCAAACCCGCGCAGCATCTCAGTGAAAACACCTGGATCCGATTCGATCAATGTCCATACTCCCTCGTCTGACATCTAGAAATTCCTTGCTGTTGAGAAAGATTGAAAAAAAAACAACAACAACTTGGAGGAGTTGTCGCAAGAAAAAGCACACTTATTCACAACGAAGACATATAATTATACTCCGCGCATTTGTGAGATTTCAAAGGTGATCTGGAGAGATAGAAAACACTTCCTTGATTTGACGTATACAGCTATAATCGATGGTGTTTACACGAAACGCAAAAAATTCACCTGGAAAGCAGGAAACCAAACTTTAAGATGATTACAGGAAGAAGCTAATGAAAGGAAAAGGAACTGGACTTCTGATTGTGGCAAAACTCTTTATGTAGATGCCTTTTGCTGACTATTGTCTCACAAAAAGTTCATACAAAAACAAGCTTGCAACGAATACATTTCCTATGGAGGTATCTTCATTTCTGAGAGGTCAACGGACAATGCTGGAAAAATGAACAATGCAGCACCATTCAATGATCTATCATCATCAACGAGGGTGACTTTTAAGATGACGAAGAAAAAACGTACAACTGCAAATGCAGACGCGGTGATCTTTAGGCGCGTAACAGTTTGCAAAACTACTGCCGGATGTTGCTTTATCAACGTGTAGTTCCTTCGTGTTTTCTAGTATGTAAAGGACTTTGGTAGATTGACTGAGTCATAAATGGGTCTAAGCTTCAGCATTCGAGAGCTTTGCTATCTACGCAGCAAGATCTTTTTTTAACTTTGTAGTGTTGGGCGCTATTCGGCATCCGGGCCCCAAAATTTTTTGTCATGGATTTCCCTCAAACTTGGCCCAGAGGGGTTATCTGACATGCTGATCACGAATATCACCTTCTCTCCGCAGGAAAACGCCTCCCTGCAGGGTTACGGTAGGTGCACGATAGGGGGTCAAAATCACGGATTTGCCCGAAACTTCGTCTAGAGACTGTATTATAGATCCCAACTGGTCATCGACTTGGAACAGTAGTCAAAACCAGGCGTAGAGGGATTGCGCAGCTGCTGTGACTGCACAAACTTCGCTAAAAATGTCTCGTTGAGGTTGTCCTTCAGAAAGGGTGGAAATCAAGTGGTGCGCACTTGCATAAGCTGAAACTGGTAATTCAAAAAAGTACTCAAAGTTGAAGTTCAGTAATCATAATGAACCAGTCAAGATCAAAGTTGGAATTTCTAGGTTTTCGAGGTTGTTCTTCTGCATAGCTATGATTGTTCGCAAAACAAAACATAATCATGAGGCGTCTCCGAATCAGTGATAGTCAACTAGTCATGACTACATAAGATGTAGGTTAGAACCTTAATGCGCCTGCGGCATTCTGCTCGAAGGAAACCTTTATGAGGTTCATAACCTTGCAACGCGGAAGAGCGAAAACATGTAATCGAGTACATATACCGTATTCAAGTACAGGCAAGTCTCTAGTTTTATCCCACTGATGTAAGTTTGAGAACAGGCGTCTCCAGTTCAAACCGCTAAATTCTGATGTTTAAAGTTTGTTCGTAATTGTGTCCTGGCCTTTTCAAAACAGACTATGTTGAAATGAAATGGAGGACCTCGAAAACATAGAAATTCCAATTTTGATCGTGACTGGTTCATTATGATTACTGAACATCAACTTTGAGTACTTTTTTGAATTCCCAGTTTCAGCATATGCAAGTGCGCATCACTTGATTTCCATCCTTTCTGAAGGACAACCTCAGCGAGACATTTTTAGCGAAGTTTGTGCAGTCACAGCAGCTGCGCAATCCCTCTACGCCTGATTTTGACTACTGTTCCAAGTCGATGACCAGTTGGGATCTATAATACAGTCGTCTAGAGGGGTTATTTGGCACGCTGAACACGAATATGATGTTTATTTCGTGCGACATCGCCATCCGGTGGAGTTACGGTACGACTACGGTAAGGAGTCAAAATCACGGATTTGCCCGAAACCTGGCCCAAAAGGGTTATTCGGCCCGCTGATGCCAAATATCACATTGGTTTTGAAGGTTGCTACATGGTCTTCTTCTTCTTCTTTATCTTCGCCATTGTCCCGCGGGTGCAGGGTCGGCGGTGGTGCATTTTTGCTTCCATTTGACTCGATCAGCTGCCTCTTGTGGTTTGAGTTTTGCAATGTGCAGGTCGTTTCGAATGGTGTCCAACCAGCGTTGCTTCGGACGGCCACGTGGTCTCTTCCCCTGTGGATCTAGACGAAGTGCTGTTTTTGCTACTGTATTATCTTCACTTCGTAAACGTGACCATACCATCGTAATCTGGCACCTCGCATCTTATCCGCGATAGGTGCAACTCCGAGAATGTGTCGTACATCATCGTTCGTGACGCAGTTTCTTGTCGTTAGGCCAAGTATCCATCTTATTATTCGCGTCTCCATCGTGCTCAGGATCTGCTCGTGTTTTCTGGTTGCTGGCCAACATTCGGCTCCATACAGTACGACTGGCCTCACCACAGTCCGATACACTTTCGACTTTAGATACAACGGAATTCGTCGGTCGCAGAGTACTCCTGTTACTTGCCGCCATTTTAGCCACGCCGCGTTCGTCCTAGCACGAGCATCAGTGATCGTGTCGCAATCCGACGTCACTCGGGAGCCCAGGTATTCGAATGTCGTGACCTTCTTCAGCGGCTGCCCATCGATGCTAATTGTGCCATCGGTTTGCTCTCCGCATTCCAGGTACTCGGTCTTTGCTACGTTCAGTCGTAGGCCATATTCCGCTAATCGTGTCTTCCATCTCACAGTCGCCTCTTCAAGCTCTTGGCTCGATCCGCTTGCTAGCTCGACGTCGTCTGCGTAAAGGAGCGTCCACGGATGCGGCAGCTGAATGTCTTTGGTCACCGTGTCCATGCACAGTATAAAGAGAAGCGGTGATAGAGCCGATCCTTGGTGTACTCCGACTTGGATTGGGAATGGCGTTGACGTTCCCACTGCACAGCGTATGGCCCCCGTCGTGTTCGTATAGAGAAGTTTGATCCAGCGAACGTACTCTTCTGGGACGTCGTGTTGTCTCAGCGCATACCAGATCAGCCCGTATGGTATCCGATCAAATGCCTTTTCTAAATCCAGGAATGCGAAATGAATCGGAATCCGTTTCTCCAAATGCCTTTCCATCAGCAATCGTACCGCGTGGATGGCGTTGATGGTGCCAGATCGTTTTACAAAGCCGCATTGATTCGGGGTGACCTCCACTATACTTCGAATGCGTGCGTCGATGACTCGTTCGAAGATCTTCATCGTGTGGCATAGCAAGCGTATTGGTCGACATGTTGAACAGTCGCTGACGTCGCCCTTTTCTTTCCAGATAGGGACTGTAACACTCGTAGTCCAGATTCGCGGCAACTGTCCGTCTACGATAACGCGGTTAAAGAGCGATGTGAGGTATGCCGTTCCACGCTGACCCATCATCTTCCACACTTCAGCAGGTATGTCGTCGGGTCCCGGAGCTTTTCCGCCAGACATCTTCCTCAGTGCCTGCACAACTTCTGCCTCCTCGATCCGAGATACCGGTCCAAATGTAGGGGCTCCTTGCGGTACTAACGGGTGCGGGAACTCCTCATTAAATAGCCCTTTGTAGTATTCACTCCACCGCTTGAGTATTGCCCTCGGCTTCGTCAGGAGGTTGCCCTCTGCGTCCTTAATGTGCATGACGTCGGTCGATGTCCTGCTTCGCTCGATGTCGTGCAGCGGCCAGTCGGTAGACCTTGTTCGCTCCAGCAGGTCCTTCCAGCTCGTCGAAGAGTCTCTTGTAGTGTGCTTGCTTTGCTTCGGCTACCGCGTGCTTCGCCTTCGAGTTCTGTTCTTATCGACGGAGGTCTTCATTTGAGTGTGAGCGTTGCCAGGCTTTGAAAGCTTTTTTCTTCTCCTTGATCACTTGCTGGACTGACTCAGACCACCACCAGATCTGCTTGTCTACAAACCGGCGTCCTGGCTTAGTGGCTCCCTAAGTTGACTCGGCCCTCGATCGTATCTGCGAAGTAATCCGATTCCATTGCTCTTCAATCGACTCCTTATCATCCGTCGACACCCTCAAATCGTTAAGAGCATCTCTGACTTGCTGACGATGTTTGGGAAGCTTCCACCATTTGATCCTCTTTGTGGTCGTCCTTCTGGCTCGTGAACGTAAGTGGATGCTCAGTCGAAGATCCAATACGAGCAACCGGTGTTGTGGCGCAAATGCATGTGTCGCCGTGGGTATAACCTTCGCGTTCATCGCCATCGGCCAGTGGCATCGGCGCAGCATCCAGTAGTCGATCTGAGTTGAGCGGTCTCCACTCGCGTACGTGATCAAATGTGATTCCCGCTTCTTGAAAAATGTATTTGCTATCGCCAAGTCGTGTGCTTCTGTTGCTTCCAGGATGCGTTCCCATTGAGATCGCCTCCTACGAAGATGTAGTCTGCAGCGTCAAATGTCCTTAGCAGGATGTCGAAGTCCCTCCAAAACACGTCCTTCTCGGCTTCGGTACATGCGGCTTGCGGGGCATAACACGAGACTTTTCGAAGCGTGGCATCATCTGCTTCGATCTTCATCGCCATCAATCTATCTGAGATGCGCGTCACTTCGGTCACTAATTCGCGGTACCTACCGCTGACGATGATCGCGACTCCGTTCTGGCGGCTGCTATCTCCCGTGTAGTATAAGCGATATCCGTCGCCGATGTCCTTAGCCTGCCTCCCTTTCCATTTCGTTTCCTGTACACATGCGATGTCGACGTGTCGCTCCTTCAGCCTATCGCATATCTCCCGACTGCGGCTCGTCAGCGTTCCTATATTAATCGTCGCTAGTCGGATTTCCTGGACTCGCTTCTTTGGCCTGCCTCGTCCGGGGGCAGGTAGCCCTAGCTCACTATTCGCGCCATGCGGGCAATGACGCGCGTCGCCTCCGAGGGACGCTCTAGCAGCTTGACAAAAATCCGCAATAGTCCGATGCATGTGACACGACTGATTCGTACAGTCCCCGGCGCGTCGCTTCGCCTGACGGGACAGTGCCCTCGTCGTTTGCCGGGGTTGATCCCCGTTGCCAGCCGGCACCGCGGGGAGGTGACGATGGGACTTTGCCGGCCTTTGAAGGTTGCTACATGGTAACGGGTGTAAAACATAGTTCTGCCTGAAACGGATGTACGGCAATTCGGACGATCGTGAAGCTTTGCACACATCACCTTCGCGCGCTACATACCCTGTTGCGGCTTTTGCCTAAGCAAAGCAAGGGGAAATCGTCGTCTCCCCGCGATAGATGGGGCGCGTCGTCTGCAAAGTCCGT